ACCTGTGGACAGGTGCCCTTCCTGAAGGTTGATATGCTTTAGCCTCCACTACATTAGCAGCACGCTCCATCCCTAATGGCCCACTTGATATGTAGAAATACTTGATGTAGAACAAATTACTTTTTACATAGCAGAAATTCATTGCCTATAATGCCTTCCTCATGCCTCAGTGTAGAACAATGTCATTCCCCAGAAACTTCCTCAGAAGCCTGACCTGGGTTGTGCACTTCTTTCATACCACTGAGCTCCGTGTGACCAGGTCTACTGGTTTTCAGAGTCTCTGTCATGAGGGGCCTGTCGGAAAGTCAACTTAAGGGAAGACTTTTTAAATGGAAGAAAAAATCATAAGTTAAAAAAGATGGAAGAAATTTTAGGAAACAAAGTCCATTTAAGAGTACATTTTAATTGTGGAGTAATTTAGTAAATAATAAAGAAGACCTTTTTATAATGGAAGAGAAAATATGGGAAATAGTTTTTGTAAAAGCCATGCACAGAACAGGTTCACTGGCAGATTCAGTCAGTGGCACAGGAACTAGAGTTATTAAACAGATTTTTAAAAATTGATAAATATACTTGCCTACAAGTTCAGGAAATTCTGTACAGCCAAAATGTTAGTAAGAAAACTATAGAAAAATGATGAAGGACATGAACAGGGAAATAAGAAAAGTAAGTAACCAATGAGATACGAAAGATGGCTCAACTTTTCTTTTTTCTTTTTTTGAGACAGAGCCTCAAGCTGTCCCCCTGGGTAGAGTGCCGTGGCATCAGAGCTCTCAGCAGCTTCCAACTCCTGGGCTCAAGCGAGTCTCCTGCCTCAGCCTCCCAAGTAACTGGGACCACAGGCGCCCACCACAACACCCAGCTATTTTTTTTTTTTTTTTGGTTGCAGCCATCATTGTTGTTTAGCAGGTCCGGGCTGGATTTGAACCCACCACCTTAGGTGTATGTGGCTGGCACCTTAGCCACTTGAGCCATAGGCGCCAAGCTTCAACTTTTCTAATAGTGAAATAAAGGCAAATGAATTAGGCCTTCAGGGGAGGTCCAAGGCCAATCAGATTGGCAAAGACTAAAAAGAAATGTCTAGTGTTTGGGGGTGAGTGAGAAAATCAGTGCTGTTACCCACTGTTGGTCAGGTTGTAAGTTATATGAAATGTTTTAGAGGAAATTTGAAGATAACTGTCAGAATTTTGTATGTAAATATTCTGTGACTCAGCAGTTCATAGGAATTTCTCATAGCGAAATTTAAAAGCTTATGAAGATTTGTGCACTAGAACACACATTTATATCATGATAATAGTAAAAATTTGGAATAGCAATTGGGAGTCTGAGGCAAGAGGATTATAGCAGGTTTATATAAATGAATTATGATGTTCATTCAGTCAGTGGTCCACAATCCCTGGTCCACAGACTAGTACCATTCTGTGGTCTGTTAGGATTTGGGCTGCCCAGCGGGAGGTGCGTGGCAGGCTCCTGTTAGCCTAGCATGGAAGAAGGTATAAGGTATTTTATATGACAAATCTAACAAATCTAACTTGAAAAGTAGTATGCAAAATATGGATCTCCCCTACCTTTTAAAAAAATTTCAACAGATTTAGGGGCACAAGCTGTCTTTGTCTCACTGGGTGACTGCTGTGACACTGCAGTCAGGGTGTGCAGTGTGCCCTTCTGCAGAGTAATGGATGTTGTGCCCAGTGGTAGGTTTAACCCTTATCATTTCACCTTCTTGGCTTTCAGTGTCCATCACACGACTCTATGACAGTGTATGCCTTTCACTTACAAGTGACAGTGGGTGGGGTTTTTTCTATTCCCAAGATGTTTCACTTGGGGGAATGGTCTCCAGTTCAATCTAAATTGCTACAAAGACATTATTTCATTCCTTTTTATGGCTGGGTGGTACTCCATGGGGCACTGTTGATGGCTCGCAGGTTGTGAATTGTGCTGTGACAAATATTCAGGTGCAGGTGTCCTTTCTGTGAAATAATGGGGTAGATATGCCGTAGCTGAATGCAGTGGCAGGTCTACTTTATCTCTTTGAGGACGCTCCATACTGAACACAGTGGCTAGCTGGTCTGTGTTCCACCAGCAGTGTGTGAACATTCCTTCTTCGCTGCCTCTACACCAACATCTATTGTCTTTTTGACTTTTTAATTATGGCCATTTTGACTGGGCTAAAGTAGTATCTCATTGTGGTTTTAATTTGCATTTCCATGATAATTAATGATGCCAAGCATATTTTCAAGTATGTGGGCCATTTGTGTATCTCTTTTGGAAAAAAAATCTGTTGAGTCCTTCACCTCCTTTTTTTTTTTCTTTGAGACAGTCTCACTGTGTCACCCTTGGTAGAGGTACGGTGCATTACCGCTCACAGCAACCTCAAACCCTAGGGCTCAAGCAATCCTCTTGCCTGAGCCTCCCAAGTATCTGGGATTATAGGCACTTGCCACAACACCTAGCTATTTTTAGAGATGGGGTCTCACTCTTGCTCAGATTGGTCTCCAACTCCTAAGCTCAGGTGATCCACTTGCCTCAGCCTTCCGGAGTGCTAGGATTATAGGCATGAGCCACCATGCCTGGCCTCTTTCACCCACTTTTTGATTTTTTTTTTTCTTGCTGATTTGGGTTCTTTGTAGATTCTGGATGTTATTGTTGGCTGTATAGTTCATATACATAGATAAATTCTCTTATATATACATAGACATATACAAGAATATATTCTCCCATTTTATAAATCTATTTCCTTTGCAGAAACTTTGTAGTTAATTTAAGTTGCATTTATTAATTTTTGTTGCTATATTTGCCTGTGGGGTCTTAGTCATAAATTATCAACCTTTCTTTTTTTTTGAGACAGTCTCATGTTGTCGCCCTCAGTAGAGGGCTGTGGTATCAGAGCTCACAGCAACCTCAAACTCCCGGACTCAAGCGATTCTCTTGTCTCAGCCTCCCAAGTAGCCAGGACTACAGATAACCGTCACAATGCCCAACTATTTTTAGAGATGGGGTCTTGCTCTTGCTCAGGCTGGTCTCAAACCTGTGAGCTCAGGCGATCCACTCACCTTGGCCTCCTAGAGTGCTAGGATTACAGGTGTGAGCCACTGTGCCTAGCCTTCTTTTGCTTTTTTTAACAAAGCCAGCTCAGTATAAAACTGGGTAGCGTTGTCTATCATCTCAATTTAGTTTTAGTACAAAATGGTATTTCACAACAGATCTGAAAGGAGAACCTTTACAGCTTCTAAAAGAAATATTTTATCACCCATCTCAATCCCTTACATGGTCTGAGAGCCTTGTAAGTTTGTTGTTTTCTACTGGCTGTTGGTATTATCAGCAGAAGTTACCACATTGTTTTCTAACTAAATAGCATATTAGTTTTTCATATTTGACACAGGGAGATAGAGGCATATAACAAGTGATGTGTTCAAGAATACACAGTCAACTACAGAATATGTAGTCATATTTCTTAATATTCTAAGGATGCTTTGTTACATGCTGCAGGCACATAGTAAATGTCTGATAGATTCACTGATAAGTTTTGTCTGCATTCACCGTGGTTTCTGAGTTTTCTAATGACTGTTCCATTGCCATCTTAATGGATCTTGCAGAGCTTTCCAGTAGAACTTTCTGTAATGGTGGAAGTGTTCATTGTCCACACTGTCCAACTGTCCAATAAGCCACAGCTAAATTGGCTTTTGAAATGTGAATGTCGTGTAACTAAGGAACTGAACTTTCTATTTTAATTAATTTGAATTAAAATTGTCACGTTATCTAAGCATAAAATTTTGTGACATATTACTCCATTGCATTTTAGATTCATGTGTAGTGGGGGGGAATGAGAGAACATTTTATTAGGATCATGAATTGACCATTTATTCCCTTTTAGAAGTAAATATCTTTGGGGTATGTTACAAACATGGGGTCACAGAAGTAATATTTTAGAAAGATTTCTTCTCTCCTTGTGTTTTTAGAGCTTCCGTGACCTGTTAAGTGTCTCCTTTATGCTGTAGTTCAGGAGACACCAAAAGCCTGCTCTTGGGCTCCATACCATGTTGCTACAGCACGTGGCATCACCCTTGTTCCCTTGAAAATGGTTATTGGGTTCACCTCATTCACCTTAGTTCCATAATGTTATCATAAAATTTTCTCCCAAATCCTTTTTAAATAGCCAGCCACATTTTAGGTGCTCAGTAGCCACAAGTGTGGCTGGTGGCTGCCATGCCTAGGAAAGAGCACAGACCTAGGAGATTTGAACGCTGCTGCCTGCAACCAGCTGGCAATAACAGGACACTGTACATCAGCTGTGCGTGCCCGTTCTTTCAGGCACATGTGCAGCTCTCTCCGAGTCTCTATAAGGCCTAGGACAGTCTCATGTCGAAAGATTGAAATCACACCAAGTATGTTCTGTGACCCCATCAGAATGAATGAAGTTGGTAAACAACAATAATACATTATCTAGAAAAGCCCAGGTATCTGGAAATTAGGCAATAAACTTTTTTCCTCTCAAGATACACTGTCTCACTCTGTCTGGAGGGCAGTGGCATCATAATAGCTCACTGTAGCATCAAACTCCTGGGTTCAAGTGATCCTTCTGCCCTAGGCTCCCCAGAGGCTGGGCCTGCAAGCACTTGGCAGCACACCTAGCTTAAATGAAATACTTCTAATAACGTATGGGTCAAAGAAGGAGTTACAAAAAATTAGAAGTAATAATGAAAATATACATATCAAAAATCTAAGGAAGTAGCTAAAGCAGTGTAGGAAATTTAGAACTTTATATAGTTACATAAAAAAGGAACAGAGGCTTAAAATTGACCTCAAGTTTAAGATTTAACTTAGTTTTAAAAGGTCAGATGGTGAGCAGCTATGTGCACCCACTGAGGAGAGTGTGCTCCCTTTCAGGACAGAGACACTTCCATGGATCTGCAGGCGTGATCAGCTCCCTGGAATTTGTGTGGCCTCATTGAACTGAACAAAATGAATGTTTAAATAAAATATTGAATTTTTTCTTATAGGTTTATTGACAAGAAGGAAAGGTTAAGCCAACTTAAGAGCAAGCAAGAAGAATTTCAAAAAGAGTGAGTTTTTTGCTTTACCTTTTAATTTGGGGGGGTTATCTAGTTACCACTTGATTTAATTCCTAGCTGTGATATGCAGATATATGGATTGCTAACTTAATGAATTTAAGAGACAGTCTCTTTAAGTGTAGAAAGAGTACATCTAGAAGGAGTAAAGCAGGAGAGATTATCAATTTTCTAGAAAATATTGGCCTCAGACCTGGTGTCTAATACAGAGTAGACACTCAGTGAGTATTTGGGTAAATGGATCAAACCCCCGTCCCTGATAATGGATGTGTGGCCCACAGGTCCAGGGGAGGAGGCTGATCAGACTTGAACTGGTGCTGGTGGCTCCCGGAGGGCCTTGTCCTGTGTTTACCTTTCTTCCATTGGTATCAGTGTTCTACAGAGTGTGGTCTGCAGATCATCTACATCAGAATTCATTAACTGAAGATAATGTTTAAAAATGCAGATTCTAGGACTCCTTTCCTTAGATAGTCTGATTCACTGGGTTTAGGATGAGGTCTAGGAATCTGAGTTATTAACAAAAACCCCTGGTGCATATCTTGCCCCCTGGGTTTGAGAATTGACCTACAGAGCCTTCTGCCCCAAACTGACCCAGTCACTGTTGTCCAGAAACATCCCAGGTGTCCCTGCCTCTGTGCCTTCACTCAGTATCTTCCTCTGTGTTTTTCTCTTCTCTGCACACCCTGCCAGTCTCTTCTGCAAAGCCTTCCCAAACTGTGCCAGCACAGAGGTCTCTGTCCTCTGGTGAAAACAGTAGACACCCATGCCAACAATCCCGAGTGTGATCTGAGTTTCTTAAGAGTCTTCAGTGGTCTAACAAACACATTCATGAGCAGTTTAAACCTTACAAAATGTACCCTGCATTAGCACCTGCTTCAGTTTATTTAACTCAGAAATTTCTCTAACTCACTCCCTCACACAAACTTTTCTTTTTTCCCATAGAACACTTTATTCCATAGAATAAATCTTCAGAGATGCTGGCTTATTGCATTTCTTTGGGAACTAACCATGGCATTTTAGATAGTAAATTTCTTTAGTTACAAAAGAATTATGACTGGGAATTATTGATTATGGCTGAGGACAAGGGCTATTCTTGAAGTTGACTGTGGACCTTTCTAGAAGGGCTCATGGCAGTGATAGAACTGCAACAGGAAGGAGGTGAAAAAAATCACACAGAATAAGGAACTTGAAAAACATAAGTCTCATGTTGGTATTTCTAGCCACTTCTAAAACTTATTTTTAAGAATTGTTTTGCATTTTTTAACTTTAAAAAATTTTACTATTTTAAGAGCCTGTTTTCTATGTCTCTTTTCCATAGAGTGTTAAAAGCTATGGAAGGTAAATGGATAACAGATCAGCTGGTAAGTCATAATAAATATTTAAATCAGTATTCCTCATACTACATGTTTTTAAGTTGGTACAGCTTATTTATTTATTTTGATCATATCTAATAATCCTCTGTTTAAATGCATTTGTGATGTGGTTTTCTCACACATTTCATCTAGACCAGCAGTTCTCAACCTGGGGGTTGTGAATCCTTTGGGGGTCGAATGACCCTTTCACAGGGGTTGCCTGAGACCATCCTGCATATCAGATATTTATATTATGATTCATAACAGTAGCAAAATTATAGTTATGAAGTAGCAATGAAAATAATTTTGTGGTTGGGAGTCACCACAACACGAGGAACTTGTATTAGGAAGGTTGAGAACCACTGATCTGTAGATGGAAAAACAGTATGTAGGCAATTGATTGTGGAGTCATTATAAAGGATAATTATGAAGTCCTGTATTGATGTAGAAATACAGCAACAATGGGTTGTTATCCTTTTTTGGCAAAATGTATTTATCATACACACATTCCAGATGGATTAATGATTAAATATAAAGAGTAAGCTTATAAAAGTATTAAAATATGGGAGGGGATTTATGTAATCTTGGAGTAGGGAGAACTTTCATAAGCCCCAGAAGACAGCATTTTGACAGACTATATAAAAGTGTAAAAGTTATATAATTTTTGCCAAAAAAGGATAATAGCCCATTGTTGTTGTATTTCTACATCAATACAGGACTTCATAATTATCCTTCATGATGACTCCACAATCAATTGCCTATATTAAAAACCTTAAGCAAAATTAACAGTTGAACTGGGGAAAAATACATACAACATGAAAATAAAGAATTTGATAACACTTAACATTCATGTTCCCTTTCTGAGTATCCATCAACACAAAATTGTTTGGGGGACAACTTCGTGGCAACTGATTTTTTTTTTAAGAGCACATATTGTGTATCTAGCATTTTTGCCTCATAGGGAAATAGATGGTGGATGCAGAGACTTATGGGTAAAAAAGAAGCTGAGAATCTGTAGCACAAGTGATAAACCTAATACGTAAATAATCTGTTTATCGGTAAGACTGAGAAAGAAATTATGATACCACCATGTAGCTTTTAAAAAGAATATGATCACTCTACATATATTCATCTGGAAAGTTATCCAAAATATATATATTTTTTTTTTTTTTCTTTTTTTTGATATAGAGTCTTACTTTGTCACCCTCAGTAGAGTGCTATGGTGTCACAGCTCACAGCAATCTCAGACTCTTGGGCTTAAGTGATTCTCTTGCCTCAGCCTCCCAAGTAGCTGGGACTACAGGTGCCCGCTATAACACCAGGCTATTTTTTTTATTGGGGCCGAGTTTGAACCTGCTATCCTTGGTGTATGGGGCCAGCGTCCTACTCACTGAGCCACAGGCGCAGCCATACCTGGCTCTTTTCATTTTTTTTTTTTTTTGGTTGTAGTTGTTGTTGTTTGGCAGGCTTGGGCTGGATTTGAACCCATCAGCTCTGGTGTATGTGGCTGGCACCCTGGCCACTGAGCTACAGGTGCCGAGTCTGCCCAAGATACATTTAAGAGGAGAGTCTCACTCTGCCGCCTGGCTGGAGTGCAGCCGCGTGTGTAGTGATAGCTTGTGGCAGACTCACACTCTGGGGCTCAAGGGAGCCTCTCATCTCAGTTGCCCAGGTAGCCAGGACTATAGGTGGGCACCTATATAGCAGCTAACTCTATTTTGTTGTAGAATAGCTCTTGCTATGTTTTACAGGCTGGTCTCGAATTCCTGGCTTCAAGTGATCCTTCTACCTCAGCCTCCCAAAGTGCTGGGATTATAAGTGTAAGCCACAGCACTAGGCCAAAATAGGTTTTTTAATGGAAAAAAACAAAGAGTAGGCTAGAGCTGGGCACATTATCTCATGCTATAATCCTAGCTACTGGGGAGGCCAAGCAGGAGTCAAGGAGCACTTGAACCCGGGGTGGAGGTGGGCCCTGTGGTTGTGCCACTGCACTTCAGCCTTGGCAACACAGCAAGATGCTGTCTCTTTAAAAGAGAAAGTAGGCTAGGGTAAAGTATGATTTCATCTGTGTGAGTATGTATTTAAATATAAATACACTTTAAAAAATCTGAAAAGTCAACTTTAATACTGAAGGATTACCCTTAAGGCATGGGAATCAAGCAAAGTCACATTTCCTTTTTTTCTCTTCTGCAGTGTTTAATTTTTTTTCATAACAGTAAACTCTGTTCATTTTTTTTACATTAAAAGAATATTTGTGATAGAAGTGGATTTTGCTTATATTCTGAATTTTATAGTAGACAAAATATGTTTTGTGGACAGTTTTCAACTAGTAGGTCTCATTTTTCTGATCACTTATTTATTTTAGGGAACACTGAGCCTACATCCTGGTGATGTGGAGGGACAGTTTCACATTTTATATAACTTTAGGAGGCTTTTCAGGAAATCTTCAGTTATATGCTTTATAAGCAAACTTCTTTTGCTGGAATTTTATTAATTTATGAGTAATACTTACTTTGTACAATGACTCGGGGCATTGCTAGTCCCCTAGATAAGCAAGGAGAACTTGGAGTGCCCAGAGAACCTCCTGAGCTGACGCAGGTGTCCTGGGTCTGACTGTCCAGTATAGCAGCCACCAGTCAACACGTGTAGCAAGGAGTTGAATTTATTATTTTTTTCAATTTTAATTGAGTGTTAAATTACCACATGTGGCTGGTAACTAAGCAGCTTCTGCACTGAATTATACAAAATTTGTTTCCTTTTCTGTAATTCACTGTGGTGACAAATACAATTATGTTGGTCTATCTTCATTACATTTTCTAAACATACCTGAAATAAGTTGTGATCCCAGATAACCATATTAATCCTAAGAGACCAATACTGGCTGGGCTTTTCCCTGTAATCCAATCTGGGAGGCCAAGGTGGGTGATTGAGCTCAGGAGTTCAAGACCAGCCTGAGCGCAGCAACATCCTGTCCCTACTCAAAATAGAAAAAACTAGTTGGGCGTTGTGGCAGCGCCTATGGTCCCAGCTACTTGAGAAGCTAAGGCAAGAGAATCACTGGAGCCCAGGAGTTTGAGGTTGCTGTGAGCTGTGACTACACGGCATTCTACCCAGGGTGACAGAGTAAGACTCTATCTCAAAAATTTTAAAAAACCTGACATTTGTGGTATTTATTGTGTGCTTTTTTCAGAGATGGAAAATAATGTCCTGCAAGATGAGGATTGAGCAGCTGAAACAAACAATCTATAAAGGAAATGAAGAAATGAAGAGAAGTAAGTAACTTGTCCTCTTCCCTCCACCTTTAACAAAAGGCTCGTGTGGATTTACATAGGATTTACATAGGATTTACATAGTAGAGGGACAGAGAGGTGTGAGATGTTGGGGACAGGGGCAGCTTAGGAAGTTTATTACACGCCTTCCTCTCTTGAGAAACATTTGTATAAGGAATTTTTAAAATATAAACACAATTGTAGAGGTCTTCAAAAACCTACTCTCCTTAATTAAAAAAGTTGAGAAACGTGTGGTCCATTTTCCTCAGCTAACAGGAAGCTCAGAGTATAACATGGTTCTCACTTGCAATAGTTAGTGGCTCCTGGGAGAGCACAGGGTGCTGGCCTTTTCTCCCTTTAGTGAGTCTCCATATTTTAATCTGTATTAATTTTACTTTATATTTGTATGCTTTATACTTTATCATAAGTTGTCAGAATGAGAGTCCTCTGAGAAATCCTGCATCTTTAGAAACACTCCATGTATTTCTGAAGATAAGTGTTTAAAGCTTAGGATGAGTCACCATGATAACTTACGAATCACTTTCTTGTCTCCTTATTGCTACTTGTCTGAAAAGAGCTCCTCTTATCATGGCCGGTAACAGTTTGCGAGTGGGCCCAGATCCATAATAGACAAGTAAGCAGGTGTTTCACAGTAGTGTGTAAAGGTGTGAAGCTTCCTCCCTGGGCATCTGCCCTGATGTGCCTGCAGGGAGTTTCTAATGGTTACTAAGCTGGAGAAGTGAGGCGGGAAGGTACACAGGGCTGCAAGCACCTGGCAGCCGGCCCCTGGTGCACTCTGGATGTTGCTGCCCTCTTTCCCCGTCCTCCCCTGTTGCCATGTTCAGGGGCTGCCACCAGTTACTTACGCATATCGTGGAATTGACAAATTTATTTAGTGTGACATTTCTCTGATGAGCAACTTTAAAGCCTTGGACAGCTTTTTAAAAAACACATCCTAATCCCCTAAAACAAAAACAACCACCACAGAAAATAAAACTCATGGTTTTAAGGCAGGAGACCCTGAAATAGTGGTTTCCATCCCCAGAAAATTATCAGTTACCTGGTGACCTTTTCAAAATCTAGAGAATCCTGGGATCTACCTTGGATGTAGGATCTAAATGTTACAACAATATTAAGTTGGATAAAAGGAAAGCTTTTTCTTTTTTTTTTTTTAATTTGACTAAGGTGAGTGGATTGCTTGAGCTCAGGAGTTTGAGACCAGCCTGAGCAAGAGCAAGACCCCATCTCTAAAAGTAGAAAAACTAACCCAAGTATTGTGGTAGGCACCTGTGGTCCCAGCTACTTGGGAAGCTGAGCCAAGAGGTTCACTTGAGCCCAGGAGTCTGAAGTTGCCATGAGCTAGGCTACCATGTTGCCGTGTTCTACCCAGGGCAACAGAGAGAGACTGTAGTCTCAAAAAAAAAAAAAAAAGAAAGAAAAAAAATGTAAATGTGTGACAGTTCCTATTGTCTAGATCAAACTCACAAAATTTTGCACACATTTTATTTTTATTTTTATTAAATCATAACTGTATACATTAATGCATTTATGGGGTACAATGTGCTGATTTTATATATAATTTGGAAAACTTAAATCAAACTGGTTAACATAGCCTTCATCTCACTTACTTAATTATTTTGCACACACTTTAAAGGCCCTGCAAGGGTGTCAACCTTTTTTCTCCTCTGCCACACATTGGAGGAAGAGTTGTCTTTGGCCACACCTTAAATGCACAAACATTAATGAAAGTTGAGGAGTGAAAAAAGGATCTGTGCATACTTTTCATGATGTCCACCCCTACAGATAACCCTGCAGGCTGCATCGGACACCCCATGAGTGGGTTTGGAAGCTCTGCTTAGAGTCAAGCCCATGGATTAAGAGCTTGCTACCCAGTAGTCTGTTTTTGTGTCATGGTTAAATATCACACAGGAAAGAGCATAAGCTATAAATTGTAGAGCCTAATGAATTATTTCTCTAGAATCTTTTAAGGTTTAATAATACAGATGATCTGACATAGTATAATACAGAAATATTATACAGAATAAATTGGAAAGTTAGCTGGCCTGTAGCATCAGGGCAGAGTTGGTCTATGCTAAAGAATTCCTTATCCTCATAATCAAGAACAGATAACAGAAATGGTATCAAATGTTTTTATGCTTTGGGGACATGGTGGGGAGGGAAGGATGACTCTGCAGGCTGAGCTGCATTGGGTACAGATGGAGCAACTGCCCTGCTCCATACTGCTTGCCATACTCCTAGTATTAAATGTGAAACTGCCCTAAAAAACAAATCTGACCACTGTGACCCAGAACCATGGTGAGATAGATTCATTTGAGAACCCATAGAGAGCTCAACAAAGATCATGAAAATGAGTAAACTCATTAGAAAGTGAGCACAGCCAGAACTGGGAGCCTGGATACTCAGCATGTTTATACAGGCCACGGTGAAGAGACACGTCTTAAGGAGAAGCAGAGCTGTGGCCCCGTCATGCCTGCAGCTGAGCTCCTGGGCCCCTTGGTCCTCAGTAAGAGGTAGTTTGGATGCTTGTTTCCAGTTGGGGTACAGGGCTTCATTGAGGCCTAGTAAAGGAGCTGAGAGCTGCGTGCCATCTCAGCGGTCTAGACACAGCACAGGAGAGTTCCAAGGAATGAAAGGTCTGGGGAGCATCTGTGGAGCTCCCCTTGCTGAATGAGTAACATCTGGACAGTAGGAGCAGTAGTGAGCATCCCCAGGGACAGGTGGTGGGGACAGCAGCATGGGGGTGGGCGTTTGGGCATGATGACTGGTTCAGGGTCCATCATTACATACATGGGCACATTGAAGTGCCTTCCATAGTGTACGGGGGTTCCATATATGTTGTGATTGAGCACAGCTGGAGTGAGGGTATGTGGAAGGGAGCTGTGGGTGTATACCAGGTGGGTGGTGGCATGAAGGCTAAGGAATTTGGTCTGTTTGATGGGTGGTGGAGGATTGCTGAGAATGGCTGGAGTTGATAAGGATCCCAGGAGGCCAGAGGGCTTGAAGTTGAGCTGAGCTGAAGATGGGCTGAGGTTTGGTGAGCATTACCTAGGATTGCAATAGTGGAAAGGGAGAAAAAGGCCCTGATAGACTGTAGGATACCTAATGGAACTGACCATCAGGGGGTTGCAACCTTAAAGTGGAGGCAATTTTCATGAAAACATAATAAAGTTGGTTGTAAACTTGAGTATAAGCCTCCTGAATATATGCCTGAGAGTTTACAACTTGGTTTTGTTACTCAAGTGAAACTTGGATACGGCCCAATAGTCCTAACAGGTCTTAGGGTCTAGAACCTGAGGGAGCCCCACAGAAGGGACTTCAGTCAGTATGCGTCTCCTCCCCCCATGCAGCACTTAAAATGCTAAGCATATGTGTTCTAGGGACCTGGCGGGGGAGGGTGTGTGTCCCACCTGCTGGTTGCTTCAGGGCCCACTGTGACTTCTCCAAGCTCATGGGGTTTCTGCTGCCTACATTCTTTGTTGGATGAATGCTTGCTGTGAGATTATCCTGGGTTCTCTGTAACCCAAGGCACACCTAAAAGGTTTCTTTTCTTTTTTTTTGGCCAGGGCTGGGCTTGAACCCACCACCTCAGGTATATGGGGCCGGGGCCCTACTCCTTTGAGCCACAGGTGCCGCCCCTAAAAGGTTTCTAAGGAAAATCGGATAACTAATATGTTTCTAAAACTTGCATTAGATATCTTTTCTAGTCTACATGACCCTTTGGTGCTTGTTATGAGGAGGTCAGGCACTTCCCATGCTGAACTGCAGCTCCACACGCCTTTTACTAACCGGTGGCCACCTGGGATCCAGAGTCACTTTAGTAGTGGTCTCTTTGCTTACATATGATGTCTCCTTGAACTGAACTCTCAAAATTTCCACTTAGTGAACATTAGTTGACTTTATTGAGGTTTTGCTTACAGTTTAAATTACAGGAAAATTGAGGGGTGGGCTCTGCAGTACACAAGAATTCTCTGTACTTGTAATTATTGGGTGTGGTTTATTTATTTTAGATTCTGAAGGCCTCCTCAAAACCAAGGAAAAGAATCAGAAGCTTTACAGTCGAGCACAAAGGCACCAAGAGAAAAAGGAGAAGATTCAGAGGCATAACCGCAAACTTGGTGACCTGGTAGAAAAAAGAACTCTTGACTTAAGAAGTCATTGTGAGCGTCTGGCAGATCTCCGGCGGTCCCATATATTAGAGCTCACCTCTGTCATTTTTCCAATCGAGGAAGTAAAGACTGGTGTGAGGTACAGTAAGAAGTCTTTTTGACTCCAGGACTAGATCAAGTTCCAAATACTATTTTTGAAGTCTATCAGCACCTCATTTATTGGCTGCTTCCAGCATCGCTGATTTTCTTTGTAGTAAAACTTAAGTCCCATGTATCTCAGCCCACAGCACACACTGAACTGGGATGGGCCAGTGAGTTCAGCAGGGCCCAGGCATGCGCTTACAGCTACAGGTGAGGCCGACACTCGCTCCTGGTAAAGAGCCTCCAGGAGGAGTATCAACTGCCATCCCCACTAGGCCATTTGTCAGTTGCCTGAGAGGCGTGTTCTTAAACCTCAGAGTCTTACTTCTTGTCTGTTAGGTGGGCATATGAGATGCCTACTTCACAGAGAAATCACAAGCTCTGATATAAGAAAACACTTTGTACTTGGGGTCTCTCAAAGGGTGTCCTGCGTGCTGATTTGGCCTTTCCTGTGACTGTCTTTTGTGCCAGCTGCTGTCAGGCACTGACCACCTTGATCTCAGCTTCAGCAGCAGTGTGCAGACACTCTCAGTGTTTAAACGTTCCCAACACTGCTGCTGCTGTGCAGATTTGGAAACCTCTTCAAAGGTTTTCACTAACTCTCTCATTGGCCACCAGGCTGTTCCCATCAGAGCTTTCTGTCTCTTCTGGCTGCTCTCACTCTCCCCGGCACCTTTTCTTGGATCCTGACCCTGGCCCCTTTCTGGTTTTGTAACTGTTCGTTCCTGCCCCTACTTCAGTCTGGCTTTTACTTTGTTGCCAGAGTCAACTTCCTAAAAGCCTAAAATTCTGATCATTGCTTCCTGGTAAGAGCTGGCAAATAGAAAAATAAAAGGCACATTCAAAATAGAGTAGGACAGAAGGTTCGGAAGAAGACATTCAGGTGGCATTTTGGAGCAACAGGAAAATTGGATGATCCAGTAACTGGTGTGTCAAGACAGCTGGCTAGGCCTTTGAAAGGGAAGGAGGGGAAAAGCTGGCAAAACAAAAACATTGTGCCAAATTAAATTCTGATAGGTCAGAGCTATTAGATTTAATGCATATTTCTGTGAAGGAAATGGCCAAAAGGGAATGACCGGGTGCTGCTTGAGTTTAGGAGCCAGACAGCTGAGTACAGTGTGTGGTCTAGGACTGGGTCGACCAGGTTTAAGATCCAGGGAGGCTATTCGCAGGACAGTGGGAGATATTGGAGGAGGTCTGTAGATTAGTTAGTAGTAAGGTAGCTGTGTCAATTACCTGATTTTGATCATTATATTTTCCTGAACTGATGATTTGGGGTAGTTAGGTGAAGTGTATAGAAGAAAACTTTAAAATTCTTCCAACTTTTCTGTAAGGCTGAAATTTCTTCAAAAAGAGAACATACACAGAGGGAGCCATCAGAACGTATACATATTTTGAGAAAGGAAAAACTGCAGTAAGTCACATTAGCAGTCACATTAGTCACATTAGCATTGCACAAAACTGCAAGTCACATTAGCCACCTCTTGTAATATTACAGATTTAATTTTTTCATAAAATGTGTGTACCTTTTTTTGGTACCCTCTGTGTATACTAGAAGGAAGAACATGGAGAAAACCTCCTTCTATGTCCTGTGTAATATTTACTTGGTGTATATTATCATATACCATTAATTTTTTTCTTTGTTTTAAAGAAGCTGGTGGTTGGCTCAGTGCCTATAGCTCAAGTGGCTAAGGCCCGAGCCACATACACCGGAGCTGGCTGGTTTGAACCCAGCCCAGCCTACCAAACAACAATGACAACTGCAGCCAAAAAATAGTCGGGCGTTGTGGCAGGTGTCTGCAGTCCCAGCTACTTGGGAGGCTGAGGCAAGAGAATCGCTTAAGCCCAGGAATTAGAGTTTGCTCAGAGCTGTGATGCCTCAGCACTCTACCGAGGGTGACACAGTGAGATCTGTCTTTAAAAAAAAAAACAGCTGGTGGTTTTAAGACTAAGAGTTCTTGTCCTTTTCCATTTCCCTAAAGTCCTGAGGAGTACCCTGGTGTTTAGCTTGCTCTATGTCACACGTGCCTTGTGGCAGAAGAAAAAGTATTGAAACCCACTGGCCAAGAGAACAGAATCTAAACTTGGTGCAGCACAGAAGCCTTCTTAATAAAACACTAACACATTTTTCTATGTTGACATTTGCACTAGTGGCTCTGAAGCAATGGTGGGACTTTTGGTGCCTTGACAGTTGTCAAAGCAGTAACTCCAGGTTGCAGTAACAGCGTTATATTCCACTATGCGACTGTAGGTAACGAAGGAAAAAAGTTTCTTTTAAGAATATCTTCAGGCCAGGCAAGGTGGCTCACACCTATGATCCCAGTACTCTGGGAGGAAAGGTGGGTGGATTGCTTGAGCTCGGGAGTTTGACCAGCCTGAGTAAGAGTGAGACCCCATCTCTTTTAAAAATAAAAAAACTAGCCAGGCATAGTGGCTCATGCCTGTAGTCCCAGCTACTCAGGAGGCTGAGGCAGGAGGATCACTTGAGCCCAAGAGTTTGAGTTTGCTATGAACTAAAATGCCACTGCACTCTGGCCTGGGCAACAGAGTGAGACTCTGTCTCAAAAAAAAAAAAGAAAAAGAATATCCTTGATGAAGCAATAAAAACCTTGACCCTTGAGTACATATCTTTTTAATATACAGTTATGCCAGGACCCCTGCAGACACCAAACTTTAAGGATGCTCAAGTCTTTTATGTAAAATGGGGTAGTGTTCTGGGTGGTACCTGTGACTCAAGGAGTAGGGCACCAGCCCTATATACCGGAGGTGGTGGGTTCAAACCTGGCCCCAGCTAAAAATTGCAAAAAAAAAAAATGGGGTAGTGTTCTATTTGGCATGTAACCTCTGTACATCCTGCTCTATATTTTAAATCATCTTTAAATTATTTATAATGCCTAACGCAAAGTAAATGCTATGTAAATAGTTGTTATATTTATTTGGTTTCTTTCTTTTTTCTTTCTTTCTTTTTTTTTTTTTTTGCATATTGCTGTTATTTTCTCCCTGGATATTTTCAAATCCACGATTGGTTGAATCCACTGCCCAGGATGTGGGAGCTGTGGGCATAGGGGCTGACTATACTGCATAGGACTGGGGTCTGCACGCAGCACTTAGACTTGTGCTGGAGCGCCTCAACTGGCTCAAGGAAAAGCACAGGAGTGACTGAGCTGCCAGCTAAAGTAGCTGCTCTTTTGTTTTTGGACACTAGATATTTCTCCATTTTAATTTCTCTATAGTATAAATATCAGTAATCTAGCCCATAAAAACAGAAGCACTTTGGGATCCTCAAAATGATTTAAGCATTTAAAGGGGTGTTGAGGCTGTCCTCCTCAATGAAGATGTGCAAGTTGCTTCTCCATATCCTAACGTGTGTGCTCTGGCTGTGCCCTCTGCTCCTGTGCATGTGGATGTCCTGGCACATCTGGCCAGTGTTCTGCATGCCCTTGTTAAAGCATGAGCTCTTGAAACGCGTATGTGTTTTCTGTCTCTAGAGATCCTGCAGATGTGTCTTCAGAGAGTGACAACGCCATGACCTCCAGTACTGTGAGCAAGCTTGCTGAAGCCCGGAGGACGACCTACCTCTCAGGACGATGGGTCTGTGACGATCACAATGGAGACACCAGCATCAGCATCATAGGACCTTGGATCAGTCTTCCTAACAACGGTGACTACTCCGCCTATTACAATTGGGTGGAAGAGAAGAAAACAACACAGGGGCCTGGTGAGATGCAGAATATTCTTTGAAAATTTATGTACCTGTGTATGTATATGTGCACATGAGATAAAATTTACATAACAGAATTAACAGTTTTTAAAGTGAACAATTTAGTGGCATTTAGTACAATCACAGCATTGTGCAGCTATCAATCATCCTGTAGGTCCAAAACATTTCCATCACCCCAAACAGAAAGCACAGGGCATGAAAGTGTCATAGTTCCCATTCTCCCATCTCCCAGCCCCTTTCCCTCATGCGTTCTCTGTCTCTGTAGATGGGATATTTCTGGCACTTTATCTAAGTGGAATCACAGAGCAGTGCCATTGTGTCTGGCGTCTTTTACTGTAGCATGCTGTTCTCAAGGTTAATCTACCCTATAGCATATTTCAATATTTCATCCCTCTTATGGCTAAATAATAAGTCCATTGTATGGATATGCCACATTTTGTATATTTATCTTATTACTTGGTGGGCTGAAAACATTTTGTATTTTACTATTCTTTTGTTTTTGTTTGTTTCTCCAGTTGCTTATGGAAGCAACAGATTTTTTAGATATTTCACCTTTTGGGGGTTGATTTGTTTTGTTTATATAAAAAGACAATACTTGAAGTATATTTGCCCATTGAGTCTTTCTTTTAGATTATATCTTTGCAGTGTGTTTGTCTTAGTCCTAAATGGAGATTGAAATAACCTCGCGGAAAAATCCTTTAAAATCCCTGCAGTAGGCTGGGCATAGTGGCTCACCCTGTCATCCTAGCACTCTGGGAGGTCAAGGTGGGGGTATTGCCTAAGCTCAGGAGTTCAAGACCAGCCTGAGCAAGAGTGAGACCCTGTTTCTACTAAAAAATGAAAACTGAGGCAAGAGGATCACCTGAGCCCAAGAGTTTGAGGTTGCTGTGAGCTATGATGCCACAGCACTCGACCCAGGGCACAGAGTGAGACTCTCTCAAAAAAATAAAATAAAACTGCAATTCCTCTTTGGAGAAGGATTGTTCACTTAATCAGTTACAGACATTTAGTGAGCACATGCCTGTGCCATGCACATTGCTGGACATGGTGATACAAAGGTGACCAAGACAGATGTTGCCTGAAAAGGGCAGCAAACAGTAAATGGCAGAGCTCAGTGTCCACTGGGCACTCTGAAAGGACCTCATAGCACCCCAGGGCCAGGGGTATAAGTGTGTGATTATCAAGAATGTAATGATAAAACTGTAAACCATAAGATCTTAGTTCATTAGCATGTTTGTTGAAATAAAAGTTGCTGTGTATGTGATCATGTTTTCATCGTACCTTAGACATGGAGCATAACAACCCTGCACACACCATCAGTGCTGCTCTGTGCTACGCCACTCAGCTGGTCAACATCTTGTCTCACATGCTTGATGTGAATCTGCCCAAGAAGCTGTGCAACAGGCAAGTAATCAGAGGTGGTGATAGCATCTTGATCATGGATCTCTCAACTTTCTGTGCTGTTCTTATTTATTCTGATTAAACCAAAACAAAAATTAAGCATTACCAAGACAGAGAAGGTCTAACTGGAATATTAAGATTAATTGTAAAAGCCTTATGTGCAAGTTTGTTATGTTACAATTCTGTGTGAAGTCTGAGAAGACCACACAGAATACAAAAGGAAAAGGTGTTCAGGGGCGTGCTGCTGGTCTTCATGTGTAGGCACTGTGTAAATTGTAACAATTGAATTTTGTTTTTCATATTTTCGATAAAACCTCATGTAGTTTAAAATTGAAAAAAAACAAAATGGCCAGATGCAGTGGCTCACACCTGTAATCCTAGCACTCTGGGAAGCCAAGGTAGGTGGATTCCCCAGAGCATGACCCCGTCTCTAAAAATTGCCAGGCATTATGGCAGGTGCCTGTGGTCCCAGCTACTCAGGAGGCTGAGGCAAGAGAATTACTTGATCCCAAGAGTTGGAGGTTGCTGTGAGCTATGACTCCACAGTACTCTATCCAAGGTGACAAAGTGAGACTCTGTCTCAAAAAACTAAAAAAAAATAATAATAAAGATAAGTAGTCTCCCCAGTTCTCACTAAGACCTGCCTACCACCCTATTATTCTTGGGTTTCAAGTAAATATAAACATGCTAGCACTACTGCTCCCCACCCCCACCCCCCATTTAAACACAGATGGTAGCATGCTTTACTGTAACGTTTTATACTTTGCTTTTTAAGTTGTTTCTCTGACAAATATTTGTGAGGTGCCTCTGTGTGTCACATACGATTTCAGGCACTGGGGGCTACACTGGCGACAAAAACAAATCCTACTGGGACTTAGATTTTAATGGAAAACACAGTAATAAATCAGCACATATCAGATGGTGGTGAGTGCTGTGGGGAACATTAAAATAGGGTGAGAGGCCAGGATTGTGGCAGCAGGGAGGAGCTTGCTATGTTTGAGTGGGTGGGTGTGTGGTCACTGGGGGACCTGAGGGAAGCTGCAGGCAAAGAAAATGGCGGGTGCACAGCCCTGGGGAGAGGAACAAGGGTAGAGAGGAAGGTTGAGGTGCAGATCTTGTGGGACCTCACAGGGCCATGTATCCCTTCATCTGTCATCTGCATGAAGTGGACATTTACTGAGTTTTTCTATCTATAAATATATCAAGATCTTACAGTCCCCTGTTGATGCTTCAGGTAATGATCTTTTACATTCACCATTTCATTAATGTATAAATATTTGCATAGAATTAATTTCCTGAAGTGGAATTGCTTGGTCCAAGGGCATATGCAGTTGTAATTTGTCTAGATGCAGTGAAATTTACTTCACTGGGGAGTAGTTCTTAGAAAATCTCTGATAGGCTCGGCACCTGTAGCTCAAGCAGCTAAGGTACCACCCACGTACACTAGAGCTGGCAGGTTCGAATCCAGCCCAGGCCTGCCAAACAACAATGACAACTACAACCAAAAAATAGCTAGGCTTTGTGGCGGGCACCTGTAGTCCCAGCTACGTGAAAGGCTGAGGCAAGAGAATCAATCATTTAAGTCCAGGAGTTGGAGGTTGCTGTGAGCTGTGATGCCATGGAACTCTATGCAGGGCGATGGCTTGAGGCTCTGTCTCCAAAAAAAAAAAAACCCCGAAAATCTCTGATAAATGCAGTTTACTGAGGAGGCAAAGGACACACGGTGTGTTTTACAGCTCAATGGACATTTTAACATAGACTTACTAAAAAAAACAAACCCAAAACTATGTAAATTATGTCTGTTTTACAGTGAATTTTGTGGGGAAAACCTTAGCAAGCAGAAATTTACTCGAGCAGTGAAGAAATTGAATGGAAATATTCTTTACCTTTGTTTTTCTCAGGTACGGAAAATATGTTCTGAACTAATTTTTAATTTATAACATAGTTGAAAGTATTAATCAAGTCTTTGCTTTTTCTAGCATGTAAATTTAGATCAATTACAACCACTGCATACCCTCAGGAATCTAATGTACTTGGTCAGTCCAAACTCCGAACACCTAGGCAGGTAAGAAGGGTATTTGTTACTTGTCTCTACATGTTGTGTTGTGACTGATTTTAAGTAGAGTCGTACATGTGGGCAGAGTATCAGGGGCCTCTTCCCTGATCCCAAACTCACAAACAGCAAAATAATACAGTCCCATACAAAAAGAAATAATAACTAATCATATCTGAAATTTTATTGTCCTTTTGCAATCATTTTTCAGAAAAAATTAATATCAAACATTTTTAACGCCCAAAATACAATAGACATTCCCAAAGTAGGGCTTTCCCCTGGCCTCCCTTCTCTCCAGAAGACCCTAGGCCATTTCTGAGAAGCTTCACCTATTTCTTCCCCAGCACTGCCCAGCTGTGCCCAGCTATGCGCCTATTCATTCCCCAGAGCTGCCCAGCTGTGCACCTTGATCCTTCCCCAGCGCCTCCCAGCTATGCGCCTATTCATTCCCCAGAGCTGCCCAGCTGTGCGCCTGTTCCTTCCCCAGAGCTGCCCAGCTGTGC